ATTAAAACGAAATCGTACAAATAAAACCATTCATAGGGGCATTCACTATAATCATCATTTATTTTCAACCTTAGGCATACACGACTTTCTAGCGAAAGTGAATCTAGCAGCCTGTGTGAAATGCGCTAGGCTGTACTATTCTGCATCAGTACAAACACGTGCAGGCGTTGCGTGTGTTTTGCTTGCTTGAGTGTTTCTGCATTATATGAGTGGCTTTGGAATATAAATCGCAGCACGTTTCAGATGAAAAAACGCGACTTCTATTTCTGAAAATATCACAGTTAGGAGATTTATAACGAGTGGTTCCCTGCATTATTACAGCAAAGCGCGTGATTACAGTACTAAGCCGCTGCTCTAATGCTATTAAATTAAAGATGATGTATCATAGAGCAAAAAAATGAACAGTAAAATTAACAAAAACTTGTAAAATACATTTTAATGGGCATAATTAAGTGTGAAAATAACCGAAGGATATACAGTGAAACCAAAAATGATTCAGAGACCAGATATAATTTTTGATATTTTTTTACTAGTGGGTGCAGGACACTATAGTTCATTTATGTAAGTGAGGATAGCAAAATAAAGTAAACTGTGACAAATCATACCCAAAAATTCTTCATACAGTGGACTACCAGTAAAATTGATACAAATTTGGGTCCAAAAATTATTCAGACCGAGTCTGGGAAAAAAACTGAAGTTGAGGTTTTCATGAACCTGGGTGACAGCATGCCCAGGAGACTACAGGCTGTCATTGAGGCTAAGGGTTGCCCGATAAAGTATTCATAGTTGTGTAAATACTGTCATACTAACAGCTGTCTGAATTATTTTGGTTGATTGTAATCTATTACATACCTTTCTATCAGAATTATCTAGCGTTATCAAGATGAATTTGTTCTGACACCGTTTAACTCTGAGTTCTTGTCATGTTTTATTACCATTTTCTAAACTATAGCGAATGTAATGTGAGAAATGTTGAAGGTGTCTGAATAAATTTTGGTTTGACTGTATCTATTTGATAAATGAAGTTAACCAACTAACATTATACATACCCTTTTGGTTTCTGTACCCAATATTTAAAAAATTTACAAATGTAATAAAAATATAGGTATCGGCATCGGTATCGGCAAGTACCAAAAATAAAAGTATCGGTATCGGGCGAGTACTGGAAAAAGTGGTATCGGTGCATCCCTACCTAAAACTGATAAACACTTTATTATTATTATTATTATATTTGCTGAACCTTGCTTTTACTTAACAATTCTTATTCCTGTTCCTTATTCTTTTTCTTAATATAGGCTTCGCTTAATAAATTAATTAATTTAAAAAAATTAAAAAAAAATTTTTTTAATAATTTACTATTTAAAAGTTTATGTTTGGTCACTGTTTTTGGTGACTCAAGGTGACGCTGAGATATACTTCACTATGACTTATCCATCAAATAAAAATACTGAAATAATAATAATATGCAATAAGGACGTTTCAGCGAGGACTTGAACCGAGGTGAAAACTTGCGCTGTAAACGTGTAGAACTCATCCGAAAATGCAAATAGTCTGCTCCAGACGACATTCTTAATTCTTCATCGACAGGTCTTCAGAGTACAACGCTTTGACCCGATTAGCGAGTTTCGGGTGAGAAGTTATAGCTAGTCATCATTGCGATGATCGCTCCGACTGCACGCGGTTCACCGCCAGCTGAGGTTAATGATAAAACTAAACTCTCTAATTGCGCATCCACCCGCAAAATGCTTTTTGTCGATAGCAACAGATACCCAAACCTTGACCATTACAATTTGTGTATGCTATTCTTGCAAAGGTTGATGTCACACTTGATTGACAACACAAAAGTGCTCTGCTTAGTGTGCAGAATGGCACAATTTGCTTGACATGGAGAGGTAAGGGTGCATGGCTGCGCATGCAAAGACTTGGATGGAGGAGGGAAGGAAATCCACATTTGCTGCCACTTAAAATGAGTAATAGATTGCCCTAGGCATCTCTCTGGCCTCTCCACACATATCAGTGAGCAGTCCAACAGCAACTACATCAACTTTGGAGTTGGGGATCTAAATAACGTGCAGGCTTCGTTTCAGTCCAGCAGCGGGGTTCCCTCACTACACGGCATCCGAGCTTGGTGAAAAAAAGAACTTTAATTGCATGCATCATTTCTATGGACATTTACATTCGAATGACAAATGATCATTTGAATAGACAGAATCCAGGCCTGGTTGGTTTCGCTCTGTCACATACGTTCATTTTTAGGCTTTAATATTTTATATACGCATTGTTTTCTTTAAAAACCTGTCTGAATAATTTGCTTGCACTTGAGTTAAATTATGAGCGATAAACCGCACGTGAAATATATAGGTAGATTATTTATAATTTTTCACCACATGGCCTTTAAAACTTAGTTACCAAGTTATCTTTCTTTCTTTCTTTCTTTCTTTCTTTCCAAGGTCAGTCTAATTTTTTTCAAATAAAAAACTGACAGACAAATGATATAGACTGTAACCAATAAAGGGCATAAATGAACTATTATTAATAAGAAGAGAATGTCTTTGTGTATAGCCAGAAGTACCTCACGAATACGGCTCGAATTGAGGTTTTGTTATTCATTTGCGTGTGTAAGTCTAATATGTAAACTTTTTGAAGAAATAATAAAGGCTTTTCAAGAATGCAATTATTATTTGGTTTGTGTAACAATTAAAAAATATTATCCTATTAACAACAACAATAGCCTACTAATAATTAATATTTGACGTAATTAATATTCGTAAATTATATTTACGAATTGCATTCCTAAAACTAGGGATGCACCGATACCGATACTGGTATCGGTATCGGCCCGATACTGGCCTCCTGTACTCGTACTCGTACTCGTTAAAATGCCCCGATACCAAACGCCGATACCACACAGCATGTGATAAGCGCCATATTTAAACAAAGAAACACTGACAACAGACAGCAGAAAGGAGTTATGGATGTCTACTACGAAGTATATGTATGCAATGAATATAATGTTAAACATTCAGTATTAAAGCCTGTATACTTAGTGTGCAGAATGGCACAATTTGCTTGACATGGAGAGGTAAGGGTGCATGGCTGCGCATGCAAAGACTTGGATGGAGGAGGGAAGGAAATCCACATTTGCTGCCACTTAAAATGAGTAATAGATTGCCCTAGGCATCTCTCTGGCCTCTCCACACATATCAGTGAACACAATTCCCCCTCTCCACCTCATCTACCTACAACTGAGCCAGCATCTAGCTGAAATATATATTACAATAGCAAGCTTACTGTGGAAATGATGGTCGTTTCAAGTCAAATATGGGGCCACTAGAGAAAGGTCACACAGTCACAATAGTGGCCCACTCTTCAGAGGTGTTGAAAAGAACAAGTCAGATAACATGGACGCACGTCTCTAAAAATACCAGGCCTTGTCCTCCGGCCACAATGGAAGGAGAATGACAGAGAGAGAGAGCGAGAAAGAGACCAGGGATGGAATAATCAGCTTTTCCGGGTCTTATCGGAGGAAAGACAGGGTCGCATGCCTCTTTATCAGCGGAGCTCTGATACAATAGCAAGCTTACTGTGGAAATGATGGTCGTTTCAAGTCAAATATGGGAGGTAAAGAGAAAGGTCACACAGTCACAATAGTGGCCCACTCTTCAGAGGTGTTGAAAAGAACAAGTCAGATAACATGGACGCACGTCTCTAAAAATACCAGGCCTTGTCCTCCGGCCACAATGGAAGGAGAATGACAGAGAGAGAGAGCGAGAAAGAGACCAGGGATGGAATAATCAGCTTTTCCGGGTCTTATCGGAGGAAAGACAGGGTCGCATGCCTCTTTATCAGCGGAGCTCTGATTATGACCATAGCTTTTCTGAGCTTTTCCCCCTGTGATGCTCTGGTTCTGTCCTGCATAACAGCTGCTGCTTCATCACTGCCTGGGATGTGAGTTTAACTCACCTACATTGCCTGTCATACTGTAGGTGTCCATGTGACAGCCTCCAGCGTCTAGCATGGGTTCAGCTGGAGGCATTAAACCTAGAAACTGAGGACTAGTACAAACACAGACGGTTAAACCTAGAAGGCTTATCTTTAAAAATCCATTGTATTGTGTGGTTTTCATAAAAAATAAGCCTTAAAATTGACAGTAAAGACATTTAAAACACACACACGCACACAAAATTGGCAGCTCAACTGTTTTTAATATTGATAATAATCAGAAATGTTTCCTGAGCAGTAAATCAGCATATCAGAATGATTTCTGAAGATCATGTGACACTGCAGACTGGAGTAATGATGCTGAAAATTCAGCTTTGATCACAGGAATAAATTACATTTGAACAAATATTCAAACATAAAACAGTTATTTATAATATTTCACAATAGTACTGTTTTTACTGCATTTTCGATCAAATAAATGAAGTCTTTGTGAACGTAAGAGACTAAGAAAACACTAAACAAATCTTACTTTTGAACAGCAGTGTACATATAAAATTTGGTTCATAAACTATTTTGAATGTATTTATATTTAATCAGGCATTCAAATCTATAACAACTGTGATATACAAGATTCAGATACCTTTTTTTTTAAATCTACATCACAACTTATAAAAACCCATGATACACAATTTGTCATGAGAAATAATCATTGGCTTACACTGAAAAACATTTTAAAATGAAGAGATTTTATTGATAATTCACATCTTTTGCAAGATTGTTGCCGTAACAGGTCTAAATTTACGAAATTTCTCTTTATAATCTTACTCCTAATAATAATGTTATCACATTATAGTTAACAGCAAAAAATGTTTTTTATGATGTTTTAAAAATTTAATTACGACACCTACAAAATGATAACACAAATGAGTTGCTATACTTTAATAGTTTGTACAGTCAACAATAACACATCACATGCCATGTTGATCGTCTTATATGTCTTGTCTTATATATATATATATACGCACACACACACACATACATACATATATATATTTATGTATGTATTTTCATGACATGATCAACTGATTCACAAGGAAAGCAAAACATTTTTACGGCTTGTAAGTGCATTTCTCTTATTTGATCATTTATCCATCATATTCATTGCTCATACTTTGGTCTGTATTTAAAAGAAAGGAAAAAGTCTTTTCTTCAGGATGTACAAGACTGTTGCCAGGAAGAGCGCGAGAGCGAGGAAAATAAGCAGCTTGTCTGTGAGTTCCCGTCGATTGTATTTAATGATCAGCTTTCTGCCCAGCTGTATCGTTCCTGTCATGGCTTTAAACTCTTCATGGGTTTCCAACACGGTCCTGGAAGACGTCGCTACAGGAGTTGAACGAATGATAAAACATTAGTTTCCCAGCATGCAGACTCGGGTCAAATGGAAAGCTTGCGGGATGCCCACCTAATGTGCTCATGGTCTCCTCGCTCTGCTGAACCTGCTGTGCCATCATCCGGCTGATGCTCATCAGACTCTCTGTTATGCCACTGGAGGTCTCAGCGAGGCTTTCTTTGGTCATCTTTCTGATTAAACGCATTAAATGAGAATTAACTCAGGCGATCAGAAGTAGCATTCAGTGAAGAAATGCTGCTTTCAAACTCACCTGTGTCTTATCGACATGTCCTCTGAATTTAACAAATCTTCCTTCTCCAGCTTATCAATGGAGAGTTTACAGGCGAGATTGGCCTTCCTCCAAGCCGTCTGATTACTGCAAGAAGAACACTCTTCATTTGAGTCCAAATACACTCCACTCCTTCCACTTAAAGGGGTCATATGATGCGATTTCAAGTTTTCCTTTCTCTCTGGAGTGTTACAAGCTGATTGTGCATAGATAAGATCCCTGAAGTTGCAAAGACTAAAGTCTCAAAACCAAAGAGATATTCTTTATCAAAGTTAAGACTCTGCCACGCCCCCCTAAAACGGCTCATTCTAACACGCCCCCACATATCTACCCCACTATGTGGAAATATTTGCATAATGCGCCCAAATGTGCACACAAAGAAAGAAGACGTGGTTTCAGTAACCGCAGTTAGTGTAGAAGCAGCATGTCAGGGAGACGCTGTGTGTTTCAGTGCGAAAGCAAAAGCACTTTATTTGGATCACTTACAACAGAACAGCAATGCATTTTATGGACGACCGTTTCGTGAACCTAGGAGAGGAGGTAATTCTGACTTTGCTATGACAATCTGGCACTTCTGAATCAGCTACTGTAAGTATGTTTTGCTATTAGTTTAAGTATTTGCTATTGACTGTTCAAATGCGGAGTTTTGCGCATCGTGTGTGCGCGAGCGAGCGAGAGAGAGAGAGAGAGAGAAAGAGAGACAGGGTCACATCACAGTGGAGACAGCTGTCTTAACCGTGGCTTGTGTACTGCAAACACATACCAGCTTCATCACTGTGTCTGTCACGCGACTCTGTTCCCCTTTCGGGCTTGAACTGATGGTAAAACTAATGACATTATTTACTGTCTTTACATTTATTTTGAAAGATGAAGCTCGCGATTATGGTAAGGGGCGTTACATTTCCGACGAGTGCTTGCGGTGTTCGGCCAATCACAATGCACTGGGTCAGCTGGCCAATCAGAGCAGACTGCGCTTGTCGGAAGGAGGGACTTTGTAGAAAACGAAGCGTTTGAGAGAGGCGGGGCATAGAGGACCTACAATAATGTACAGTATTTGAAAAATAATGTGTTTTTTGAACATTAAAGCATGTCAACATATTCTGTTACACCAAATACACAAAATAATGATCTTTAAAAAAGCATCATATGACCCCTTTAAACCAACTGAGCATTATTCTATCAAATGCATTAAGACTGAGAAGAACACAAGTGAAGCACATGACTTCATCATTACCTAAGCATCTGTTTCCGATGTCCTTCTACTTTATTGAGTAGGGTCAGCTTGTCAGACTCTTTGTCCTGTTCTTTTCCCATTTGCTCCAGATCCTGTTTATAATTAAACATGTAAAGTTTAGAATTGGCTTAATTATCAGCAAATGTGCACACGTCGTTTCTCACCTGAATCCGTTGTCTAAGATTGTTGAATTTTTCTTTCACTTGAAAATTGAAATCTGTCAGTTTGCTCTGTGGCCCTGTGCATTCACTGACATCCTGCAATGTTTGAAAACATTATATTTACATTTAGTTACAGGAAACCAATTCAAATGATAATTAAATCATATATGGCACTAACACACTATTGCAGATGTTATATTTTAAGTCAACACAAAAGTAAAATGCTTGATTTACCATAATAGCATTAAAATGTAATTCATCACTTATTAGAATTTTATGGTCCTTGTAATGCATTCATTTCATCAGCATTCCTAATATTTTATTTTTAAAATACTGTTCCTAAAATGACACAAATATGACAACAATCGTAATGTTTAAGTTTTATAAATAAGAACACCTTGACGTTTTATAAAACATTCATACCTGAACGAGAGCCTTTATTTCTAAATCAAACTTGATGATTTCTTGTTCACATATTCGGACGTGTACATCTGCAGAGGATGCCATCGCTGCAGTCTGACTCTGGACGCTGATGACTTCCGGACACAAAAGCACTGACAATTTCAAAATAAAAGTCGTGACTTCTCAGCTCACAGTGCGTTTAGTTATCGTCTGAGGACTTAATGTATAAGTGTGTTAACCTGAAACCTGATGCCAGTTTTTGAAACAACTTTTAATTTTTCTACTGTGATCCATGTATGGTTGACCGTCACTGTCTTGGATATGAAAGGTTAATATTTTTTTATTTTTGTTTGACAGTAACGTTTACTTTGGTATGTATGTATATATATAACACACACACATATATATATCAGGCACTTTTATTTTACTGCTAACTTTTGGGGGATATATTAATACATGTATGTATATATATCCCCCAATGTGTGTGTGTGTGTGTGTCTGTGTGTGTGTAGCGACGTCTGCCTGTTGCTGACAAGAATCAGTGAACTGAAATAGGCTACCAAGAGTAACAAGGCGACTTGTTCTCTTGTTGTTTAGCGCCCTCTACTGTTGGCAATTGAGCAAAGATGAACTGTAGAATTGATGTAATCTGCACACTGGACAGACAGTAAGTGGCTCCATCAATTTTACTTCCCTGAAGGGCTAACAGGTTCATATAGCCAAAGTTCACAATGTAAAAAAAAAAAAACAAGTTTGCATGCCATTGGCCCTATTACGAATGAGATGAAATGTGGGATCTGCTACACTGAGTCCAAAGGGATCTGGCGTTTGCTTCGGAACTAGTGAGGAGTGTCAGTCGTTGTCCAGCTTCAGAGTTTGTTTGATTGTTGAGCTCTCTGAATATTTGCGTTACAGGTGCGCTGGAGAGTTCAGAGCACAGGAGACAACAGATCTGGAGATGATTCAACATCTGTACAGCAGGTGAGCTTTTTTTTAAGGATTTTATGCATTACAAAAACCTGTTAGCTATATAAAACCCCTGGAAATTAGAAATGGTTAACTTCATTGTGTTTTAGATTAAATGAAAACTGTTAAGATAAGCTAAGTTGTTAATGAAAGAAAATAGTCGTTCTAGGCAAAATGTGATTTATAGGTAGGCTACTCCAAACTGCATGCATTTGACATTCAAATTTAACATGACTTTGTTGGCTACATTTATTTATTTTAAGTGTTTTATGGTTAATCTCACCTACTTGAACAAACGTTGCATTTTTAGGCTATGCTTTAGTGTTTTGAAATGCAGATCATCACCTTGATTAAGTAACCTTTTTACCCTGAATATAGAGGGTAGTTACACCAGTTAAATATGGACATTTTACACAATACAGTCCTGGGGCATATTTTCACACTGTATGGGGTAAGTTGTCACAATGTAACCTGCATGCCATTAAACAGCATATTATGTGCATTTCAGCAGTAAAACAATTTTGAAACACAAAATAATTTATGAAACAGCACAAATGTTAGAAAAGTCAAAACCATTGTTTTGGCCAACAAATGATTCATGTAATTAATAAATTGTATAATCTAACATTAAAAATATGTGTGACGACTTGCCCCAGCTTGACGTCTCTGAAAAAATTTAGAGAACACATCTCAACCAGCTGAAATCTGCCTTCATTATATAATTGACTCTTGTCTGATATATTATATAGTAATTTTAGAGGCAAAAAATTATCAAAAAGTAACCACTAAACTTTGGAGTCTATTTTTTTTTACCTTACTGAGATACAGTGCTGGGTAGTAACTGATTACATGTAATCTGGATTATGTAATCAGATTCCAAAAATTAAGTACTTGTTATTAGATTATATTACATTTTAAAATAATCAGATTACAGTTACTTTTTATGGATTACATGATTACCAATTATCCACACAATGGCAGTAAATGATTTACAATTTATTGATTGACTCCCTAATTCTGCAACAACTACAAACAAATCTACTGTGTGTCATATCATTTAGCTTTGAAAATTCACAATATTGAATGACCATGTAAATGTAATGTAAATTAATTTGAGGACAAAAGCACCTCGCAGTCAATTATACCATGTTAATATTTTAATAATTTAACAACACATTCACATGTTCACAGTTCTCTGATGTCGGTTAATTGTCAAATTTACATGCAGGCAAATATATAAAATATTTAAAATGTAAAACTTTTATTTATTCATTTTAATTCTACATTTTTATGATTTAATTAAATATGATCTTTTCATCAACTCATAAACCCTCTGCGGTTCTTTCATTTAATGCAATGTTTAATGCATTTCATGATGTTATAACAAAGAATGGAATATATTTTATTTCTCTTGGCTTTTTAGAACAATAATCCCATTCAAATCTATAAACAGGTCAAAAGTAATCTAAAAGTAATCCAAAAGAATACATTACCTAAAATGAGTAATCTAGATTACATTACTGACTACAATTTTTATCATGTAATCTGGTCTTCCCCATTTGTGAAGATGTGGTATAATATTGATTTCACTTCTGATCACATGACCAACCATTTTGTCCTTGACGCTTTCTTGACGCTGTGTGTTTCTTTGTGGAAATAATTATAGGTGGTTAGAGGGACTTATTCATGTTTGTTTACCCATGAGCTGGACTGAAGTGTGTATGGGGCCAAAATAAGACTACAATGAGCTTTTAATATTCAGCAAGTAATGTAGATACGTTGTTGCAATAAGACAAACCGTATGCTCGCAATGGCTTTGGAAAATGCTAAATAGATTGAGGCTTAAGAAGAGACTAGCTATATAATCTTTAATTACATTATTTTGAAGATTTTGAAATAAATGTCGAATGAATGTGGATGCTGTCATACTAGTACAAATTGTATTTGATGACTTAGTGGTCTGCACTGACCCATTTTCCACACACTTGCTTCACTTGATCTCTGTGTTCGTCATTGCTGAGGGTGGAGTGAGCTCCTCGTTTTGTGAGTGATGATTTTTCATACAAAGGAACCTGTCTAACGGGATTAACTCCAGCATTCGGAAGAAGGATCTGCATCCGTGGACTAGAAAGTGCTGTTTGTCAAGTACTTAAAGTCTTTTTTGTATAGCAAGCGACGTTAGAAAATATATTGGTAGTGTACTATAGTAACCCCAGAAGCTTACTTCTATAATGCCACTGTCTTTGACATTCACTCACTCGATTGCTAACTTCAGCAGACGGACTCCTGTGAGGTTACATCGTATGGTCCTGTAAAAACAACAAATATAACAACAGATTTGCTCTGTCATTTAACAGATGCTTTTATACACAGTACAGTATTTGCGATACGTACACTCTAAAAAATGCTGGGTTGTTTCAACCCAACTTTGGGTCAAATATGGACTAACCCAACCGTTGGGTTAAATTTTTACATTACATTTTTAACCCAAAAGTTGGGTTAGTCCATATTTGACCCAAAGTTGGGTTGAAACAACCCAGCATTTTTTAGAGTGTAGCTACATACAGTGTTATCCCTTGAGTTGCTACAGCACAAGTAAATTAAATACACATGAAGGGTTATTTCAGGATGACGATGTTGACTTTGCAGCGCTGGCTATAGCGTGTGTTTCAAGCTGGCCATTAATAAACAAGCTAACATGAACAAATACTCCCTGGCTTTTGTAACTAATCAGAGTATACTGTTCTTATTAAGGGTCATGGCAGATGTTTTGTTGCAGTCATTCCAATCAAATTTGGATGGAAACTTATAGGTTATAGTTTTAGTTCCTATACAATCGTCATCACCATAGTAAAAAGTCACAGTATTTTTGTTTTTAAAGTAAACAAATGTCATTACACTCTAAAAAATGCTGGGTTAAATATAACCCAGCGCTGGGTTATATTTAACCCAGCATTTTTTAGAGTGTAAGATAAAGGCTTTGAATAAGTAATACAATAATATTCTGATGCAAATTTTTATCTATTTATTCAAAAATACATTATAACGAAATACATTGGCTCTTCTATTATGTATTATATTTTAATTTCTGCATTAAAATTAATTTTGATATTTTCAGGGACATGAGATAAGAAAAATGTCAGGTCTTGATATCAGAAAAACTTACTTATTATTTTAAAAAATGTTGTCAACCAACATAGACAAACATTCAGAAAAGTAAAACAGGAAATGATGTCACAGAGAGGACCCCTATTTTCCCCCCTCAAATTCCTTTTTTTTCCATTTTAATGTTTTCTGAACTTTTTTAATGGTTAAATACAAATTTTATTAATTCAAAAGCATGTGTAATTCATTTAAATCATGAAACGTATACAATGTAACAGCAATTTATTAAAAGTTTAACAAAAATGACATGTTTAGGGCCCTATGAAATCTGTTTTATTTTTTCTCAAATTCCTTTTTATTATTTACAAATTCTGTGTTTTCCATTTTAATTTTTCTAGATTCCATTTTAAGGGATTAATTATTTTTTTATAATCAAAACCAATGTCTAATTAATTGAATTCATAAAACCAACTTACTTGATTGATTTGTTTACAATAATAGGGCCCTGTGAATTTTATTTTTTCCCCCCCAGAAATTATGTGTTCTGTATTTTCATTTTTATGGTAATCAAACCTACTGTAAAAAGTAAAACATGGAAGAAAAATTATGATTATTAATTTAAAACGTTTTTATAATAATTGTATTATTATTATTATTATTATTATTATTTATTTTTCATTATTACATTAAGATGTACATTCTACTGTCACAATTTTCGTCACAATTTCTTCAAGCTAAACCAAGCTTTTATTTTGACGAGTTGCCTTGAAGACCTTTAGTTTCTGTGTGTATGTGAAATGGCGATAGTTTTTCTCAAATGAAACGCTCAAATGTTCATGAAGTGACTCAGAGCAGCTCTGGAGAGAGAGCTGTGACTCAGAGCAGCTCTGTTGTTCATGTGTTCATGTCCTCATCTAGTGAGTGGCAGAGGCTTTTAAGTGTTGTGTGTGTAGTAAACAAAACCACGCGTCTGCGCCCTTCATTCACACAGAGACACGCAGAACATGCAGGATTCATATTTAAATAGTTCTTTTACAGTTTAATATTCACAGTCCATATCGCCATTTGATTTAAGTGTACTGACCTACTTTTGATTTATTCATCCAAATTTTGACAAAATCCGTGACATTACGCGTAAATTATATTTTTATTCCGCGATTCCGTCCACGTTTTCCGCATTGAAATCAAACTTTGTGTGACAAAGAAAGGTTCGTTTAGGTTGTAAAATGTCATGTGGTGCAAATTCCAAAAATTTAATAATATTTATTATTTAATAAGTATTGTTAAAAAAACAAATATGACTATTTCTTATTTTTCCTCTGTGTGTAAACTTTTTTTAATTGAGAGTTTGTATGAATTAAACATGCAATATATTCTTACAACCTACAGCATGATGTTTATAGTGTGATTTTTCTTATTTATTTATTTTTTTTGTCTACAGTACACAGAATGATCAAAAATCAGGACTCCCCTAAAATATGCGAATTGAAGCATGCACTGGATCTTTAAAGGACAGAGATAATCTCATCTTTCCTGCCATCTTCAGTTCATGATGAACGCCACCTCATTCACACTGAATCTCTCCAGTTTAAGCAACGGGACAGATGTGGCGGTCTCTGGTCCTGTCACCTGGAGGATGGCCATGATCACTTTCATAACCGTCCCACTCTCCATCATCACCATCATAGGCAACGTCCTGGTCATGATCTCTTTTCGGGTCAACCCGCTCCTGAGGACAGTGAGCAACTACTTCCTCCTGAGCTTGGCCGTGGCCGACTTCATTTTAGGCGCCGTCTCGATGAACCTCTACACTACCTACATCCTGATCGGCCAGTGGACTTTAGGAAACCTCGCCTGTGATGTGTGGCTGGCTTTGGATTATGTGGCAAGCAACGCCTCTGTTATGAACCTGCTGGCCATCAGTGTCGACCGCTACCTCTCTGTCATGCGACCTCTGACCTATCGGGCCACTAGAACGCCCAGAAGAGCGGCGGTGCTGATTACTCTAGCGTGGACCGTCTCGTTTGTGCTTTGGGCTCCAGCTATTTTGTTCTGGCAGTATATAGTGGGTGAACGGACTGTTCCAGAAGGAGAGTGTTCAGTGCAGTTCCTGTCTCAGCCTGTGATCACATTCGGGACGGCCATCGCCGCATTTTACCTGCCAGTGAGCGTGATGGTGGCGTTGTACTGGCGCGTGTACCGTGAGACAGAGAAACGCTCTCAGCAGCTCGCAGGACTCATCGCTTCACAGGGAGGACGCACTGGAAACACATCTCAGGTGGGTTTCAAGTGGACTCCTCCATTATTTTACATTTTAGCTCAGTAAAACGTTCTTTGTTAGCATCAGTGGTTCCATGAAGAACCTTTAACACCATGGAACCTTTCCATTCTACAAAACGTTCTTTATAGTGGATAAAAAGGTTTTTAGATTTAGAATGTTCTACACTGAAAGGTTCTTAAGGGAATCAAAAATGGTTCTTCTGGAGAAAGAAAACACTTTTGGGCTGTAAAAATTTTTTTTTTAATACAATTAACGCAGCATCCTTTTTTTCAATTTATAGTTTATGTGAAGATTGTTTTAGGTTCACTCAAATTAAAAGTTGTTATACTTTTCAAAGCCTATTAAATGTTAAAAATTATGGTTTTCAATTATACTGTAATGTTGAATGGCTATAATTAATGGCTATATTTGAGGCAAAAATGCTTTTAATAGAGACATCAGTTGCAGTAGGTTATTGGTATCAATTATACTGGTCCTCATTAAAAATAGGCTACTTAGTAAAAAGATGCCATTAAACACCTATTTAAAATATACCTTTATGTTGTGTCTATATTCATTTGGAGATTCAATGTGGAATTATGACAATATAAATATTAATATGTGATTAATCATGATTAATTACAGAAAAATATGATTAATTAATTTTTTTAATTGATTGACAACACTAATATATATATATATATATATATATATGTGTGTGTGTGTGTGTGTGTGTGTGTGTGTGTGTGTGTGTGTGTGTGTGTTTCCAAATCAAATTAAGGCCTCAACAAGCCTTTTCACTCCTGCCATTTTCTGGTCATGACCTGGGAACAGTGATTGATAATTTAGAAGAATTCCACATAAAATCATACAGTTAGAGACATTCTAAGTGACAACTCAGTATGCCTTAGGCAGAATAAAAGTTTGCAAACATATGTCTGCAATAACATTGGAATGAAACTTATGCAATGTGTTGATAAACAAAGTTCTCCCACTGTTAAATAAAATACAAGTAGGTAAGTAGGCCACAGTATGTTCATAAGTGCTAGAAACACTTTGGTGTCACACAGGTGTCAACCCTGGGCACCATAATAGACACTAAAATTAAAAATGCAAAATTAATGCTAAAAATCCAAATTAATGCTAAATTCTCTAATCATTGAATGCAGTACATTACGCAGGATGCACCTCTGTATGTGTACGTTTAGGCCTTTGCACTTAAAAAAAAACTCTTCAAGTCAGTGGAATAACAAATGACTGGTATTTTAGCCAGAAGCAAAACTGTTTTAGAAGTGTTGTCAAAACAGAAGAGATTCCTTTTTTTCTCAGAAAACTTGTTTTGATGATGAAAGGGATTCTCTGATTGGTGGAAGTGTTACACCTTCCCATTTGTACAGTGGAAATGAACTTTGCATGACAAATTCTTTCCCATAGGTTATTAATTTGCAGTTACTTTTTAATAATTTGTTTTAGTTAATTTTAGTTAAATTGTGGCCACAATGTAACAATTTGCTTGCCATAATTTAACTAAAACAAGGGAATCATTTAGTACAATGTGGTCATGATTTATCTAAAAGTCTTAATTTGTGTACATGATATCTTGTTTTTCCCCCGGCTTGTTATTTTCGAGACTGAGTGGGGAAAAGCAATAATTGAAAGCTCTTTACCAAGAAAATTAAGATGGGAACATACTGTAACAGGGTGAATATAGAGAGCTAAAGTTTTATATTTTAATGTTATCATAATGATTCCAATAAATTTATGTAACAGGATGTAACGTTGTAAACTGAGACAAACAAATACCTATTCAAACAAAATATCACAGAATTAAAAAAATCTATTTCTAATAATTACTAATTGTTTTTCCACCTAAAATGACATCACGTCTCAGAGGATGATATAAGGAACTGGATTCAGACCAGCCATGATGTGTTACATGTTATTGCTAGTGAGAGCCAGTGTTATTTTAGTATCATTTATGTACTATTATAGACTTTATTAATATTTTGAGTTTACTTTTTTTAAAATAATTTTTATATGTAATTTTCTTATGTTTTTGTAATTCTTTATTTTTTTAACTTTATTTTTATTTCAATTTTAGTTTTAGTAATTTTAGTACATCAACTTAAACTTATTTCAGTTAGTAGCCAAGGCAAAAATCTTAAATGAAAATTGATATATATATATTACATTTTAAGTTTTTTTTTTTCAGCTTTATTTCAATCACTGAAAACATTTTTTAAAATCATTCTAGAGACCTTTTATCGGACAAAAATATGTATAAAATCATAATTTTGGTCCATTTTGCTCATAGAAAAAGACTTCAAATTTCCTATTTGTATTTCTGATAAAAGCATAATTTGTTATTGTTGTTAAAGGGATAGTTCACCCAAAAATGAAAATTCTGTCATCATTTACTCACCCTCAAGTAGTTCCAAACCCGTATAAATTTCTTTGTTCTGCCGCACACAAAGGGAGATATTTTGAAGAAAGTTTGTAACCAGGCTGTTTTGGGGCACCATTGACTTCCATAGTAGGAAAAAAAAATACTATGGACGTCAATGGTGCCCCAGAACTGCTCTGTTTCCCACATTCTTCAGAATATCTTCCTTTGTGTTCTGCAGAACAAAGACATTCATACAGGTTTGAAACTACTTGAGGGTGAGTAAATGATGACAGAATTTTTGGGTGAACTATCCCTTTAATGAACATTAGCATATGCTTGACCCTGAAGCTAACAGACATGGACTACAAGAAACAAACTACTCCTTTGGAGTTCAAGTGGTCATTAAATAAGCTTAAAATCATTCCAACTGAAGTAAACTAATACATGCCATTTTTACTGAAGAAATAGCAAAGACGTTGCGTGTTTACATTACATTTGTGCCATATATTTGATGTCTCCCAGAGATCCTGTCACAGCAATTCTCGCAGCGTTGAAGACGTCAGACCACAAACAGACCAGAACCAGCACAAGAAGACACACAGCACCATCTGTCCAATCATCACCCACCGGACAGCAGCGTGGTGGAAGAAACGAAGGGAAAGAGACGAGACGTCCAACTCATGTACCACATACAGCCATCCACAGATGCACACGGACTGCATTTCTCCAACACCAGACGACAGTAACAAATACATTCCACTCGTTCGGATGGATAAGACCACAGTCAGTAATCTTCCCAATGACTGCGATGCCACCAAGAGGAGCTGTGAGTCAGCTGTGAATTCCCCTATGAACCCTATAACCACGAGTGCCATGCAAGCTCCCGCTCGATCGCTGGCCCGCAGAGCCCGGACCTCGGGCCTGATCAGGGAGAAGAAAGCGGCCCGGACCCTCAGTGCCATTCTCCTGGCTTTCATTGTAACATGGACACCCTACAACATCATGGTCCTGGTGTCCACTTTCTGTGACGACTGTGTTCCTGAGGGCCTGTGGCAGCTGGGATACTGGCTCTGCTACGTCAACAGCACGGTCAACCCCGTCTGCTACGCGCTCTGTAACAAGCACTTCCGGGTCACGTTCAGGGCGCTGCTGCTCTGCAGGTGGAAGGAGCATAAGAAGGGGATCAGATGGACCCCGACGGGGAATGGCTGATTGCGTCATGACGTTTGTTAAGAGTTGGGGTTTCTCTTCATGATATCAGCGATTCAGCACTGGTTGATAAATGCTGATCTTTATTATGATGCCAAAGAGCATGTGGGCTTGAAAAGATCCTAGAGATCAAAGTTGTGCATCAAATGTATGAAATTCAGACCAGCTGTTTGTGAAATTGTATCTTGGCAGGACATGTAGCAGTTTTTCAATTTGAATAGCCTTACTTGACACATTCAAAATATAAAATGTAGCAGCTGGGTATGTGTTTATCAAACATAAACTCTTTAACGCTCTGGTATTGTCCGGTCCGAAAAATTACATGTTTTTTTTTTACTTCATCAGAATGATACAAAACTTGGTTTTGGCACTTATGTGAAAAAAAAAAAAATTAATCATGAACATGATTCGAAAAGGTTGAATGTTCCTGAAAAAAATAGTCACTTGTTTGCGTCGCATTTGTGCATTTTTCATTATAAACATAAACTTCTATAACTTTAGTTTCACTTTTTAAACTTTTTTTTTTTTTCACTTCAGCAATATTCTGCCAAGTGTCTTCTTTAAAAAGAGACTTAACTTAAACTTGCTCCAAAGCGTTCAAGATTTACGAGTTTTAAGTTGGAAATTTATTTTTCAGGTCTATGCTCAAAAAGTGGTAATAAAGGATCATAACTAAAAAGTGAAAAAAAAAAAGTGACGTGACATGTGGCCAAGTATGGTGACCCGTACTTGGAATTAGTGCTCTGCATTTAACCCATCCAAAGTGCACACACACAGCAGTGAACACACACACACACACCGTGAACACACACCTGGAGCAGTGGGCAGCCATTTATGCTGCGGTGCCCGGGGAGCAGATTTGGGGTTCGGTGCCTTGCTCAAGGGCACCTCAGTTGTGGTATTGAAGGTGGGAGAGAGCGCTGTACATTCACTCCCCCCACCTACAATCCCTGCCGGTACGAGACTCGAACCCGCAACCTTTGTGTTACGAGTCCGACTCTCTAACCATTAGGCCACGACTTCCCATAAATGTAATTTAGTACCATAAAATCCACTAAAAAATTAAAGAACACTATAAAACTAAAATATAGCACATTCATTTCATTGAAATAAAAAAAAAACTAGAGCTGTAGACATGAAATTAGTAGTGACGGTAGAGTGAAAATTATGTACAAATATAATTTGTCATGCCGCATGATATAAGCTATTAAATTATAATTATATGCATTTTAATCTAAAATCTTGATGTTAAAAACAAATGCAATTTTTTTTTTTTTATCTCTTTTCTCATGCCTATTATTTCACATGTGGACGTTTTACAGGGTCTCAAGAGTTATAATACTGTGGTAAATTTCAGTGCAGTCTTTATTTACTGTGCTGGCAGCGTTCATAAAAAATACACATAATTAAGATTAATCTCTCTGTCACATGTATGTTTATTATGGAAAGGCCAATATGAAAAATGTAAATAAAAAAAAGACAGAAAAATACAGCATTTACATTTAATACCAAAAACAAATACAAAACGATACAGTACTCACGATAATTCAATATGGTTAGTCAACAATAATAGATACTGGTTATATCACATACAAAATTCTGCTACGAAAGATAACCCGCCTTATGAGAGTGTTTTTAGAATTAAAATCAGTGAAACCAGAAAATGCTGAAAAAAAAAAAAATTATATGATCATAAAAATAAAAATACAGCACCATCTTCTGGTTTTTGAATCTGGACCGTGGCACAAATACTTCCTGAACGAACAACTTACAAGAAATAATTATATACGATAAAGAGAGATACACTTCTTGTACAAATGAATATTTAAATCCATAACATCCTTGAAGGATCAAGTCATATGTTTGCTCTATGTAAACAAATGTATCTTGAGTGAGTCATAAAGACAAAATAAAAAAAAAATTATTTGGCAATGCATAAACAGATGCTTAATCATCTGAACCATTGGCCCTAACATCAAGGAATGTGGAAATACTGCTCATAATGCATGAAGTGTATATAATCCATTTCAAACTTCTCCTTTGTGCACTCTTTCATTTCAAACACTGCTTGTGATGTGTGTAACAGTCAGTGAAATAAAAACAAACAAAACGAAGACAATGGCTACATTAGGGCCAATGATTTCTCTTTCTACGTCTGCATCATTCTGTAAAATCTCACAACATTCTCAATGCATTTCTGTGTGGATGTGAGGGCTGCGCATTCTTCATGGTAGACTTGTTTTCATGGTCACTCCATCGCGGGGTTTTGGCTCTGATAAATGGAGGCCTTGTCCTTCAGAAGAGCCAGACACAGGTGGCAACTCCAGCTTCCTAGAAACAGGATTAAAGCCAAATATTAATCATCAGTGGCAATCGCATAACTCTAACTACTACCAACTAAAACGGCAATAAATGCATAAACTTAATGCATAACCGTTTTGGTGTCAAAGACGTGGCTTCACATGACAACTTGATTTTTTTGGTCTGCTCCTCATACAATGCTATTGCACTGCATCACAAGACTTGGACTATAGCACAACAGTCAGTAGTGTAGCATGCAAAACTTAATATTAATTCTAATGTCGTGTCCCAGTCATTTTGACACAGAGAGGATTTTCTTTCCCCCAAAAATGCTAGTTACTATGGAAGCCCATTTGGGCCAGTGAATAAAAAATAAAAAAGGTAACTGCGACTTTTTTCTCGCAATTGTGTTTACATCTCACAATTCAGATTTTTTTCTTCTTCTCGCAATTCTGACTTCTTAGAACTGTGAGATATAAACTCTCAATTGCAAGTTATAAAGTCCATTTCTGAGGGAAAAAAAAGTTTATTTCTCTGAATTGTGACTTTATAATATACAGTGGGTACGGAAAGTATTCAGACCCCCTTAAATTTTTCACTCTTTGTTATATTGCAGCCATTTGCTAAAATCATTTAAGTTAATTTTTTTTCCTCATTAATGTACACACAGCACCCCATATTGACAGAAAAACACAGAATTGTTGACATTTTTGCAGATATATTAAAAAAGAAAAACTGAAATATCACACGGCCCTAAGTATTCAGACCCTCTGCTCAGTATAATGAATAAAAATCAGAAATGAATTAATTGCAATTTCTCTCACAATTCTGAAATTTTTTCGCAATTCAGATTTTTTTTTCTCCGAATTGCGAGAAAAAAGTCAGAATTGTGAGATAAAGTTGCAATTAATTAATTTCGTTGTTTTTTTATTCAGTGGCGGAAAGCCCATAAGTAACGGTTATGGCAGTAACAGTATCTAAAAAAAAAAAACCTGATATATATATTTTTTTTAAACTTCAAAAATGTTGATGTTAAAAACAAAATGCAATTAAAAAAAAAAACATTCTCTTATTATGCACATTTTTCACATGTAAAATGTTTTACTGGTCCTTTATGGATCTCACAGCTATAGTACTACAGTATATTTCAGTGCAGACTTTCTTTTTGTACTATGCTGGTGGCGGTCATAAAAATGCGTGGTTTTTTGTTGTATACAAACATATGGACCACTTTTATGGTATTCAAAATGGTGCTTTTTTTTTTGCCATTTTTGGAAACTGTTAGACTTAGCCCATTTCAGAAGGGCTTGGGAATCAATTCCAAAAAAGAAATGATTCATTGATTCCAAGGCTTTGGCAAATTCTCTTTAATAGCCTTTTCAGCTCATAGAGCTAATCATTAATTCACCTCTCGGCCTCTAATATTAAAAAATAAAAAAAATAAAAAATATTTCCTTTCTCTTTAATAGCCTTTTCAGCTCATAGAGATAATCATTAATTCACCTCATTCACCTCCTCTTTAATAGCCTTTTCAGCTCATAGAGCTAATCATTAATTCACCTCTCGGCCTCTAATATTAAAAAATAAAAAAAAATAAAAATATTTCCTTTCTCTTTAATAGCCTTTTCAGCTCATAGAGCTAATCATTAATTCACCTCTCGGCCTCTAATATTCATGGGAAGTCTGATTCATCTCCACGAACCTGTTCTTTCGGATGGCTTGTTTCAATGAATCGATTCAAAAATACGACTGCAGCGGTTCTTTTACATTGTTATTTAATGTTGACGTGTTCACATACAACACGGTGTTGTGGTATGTCACGCTGAAACGTTTAAATAAAGCCATAAGTAATCATAACCTTTCATTCACTTTGTTTTGTTGTCACTGTTTCACTCAGTGATCCTGCACATCAAATAGCTTACAACTGACATATACTGATTAGCCTATGTTTTGGACAAGTTCCCTACAATAAAGATAAACATACAATAAAGTCCATTAATTAGCTTAAAGGGTGAAACTGGCTTGTTCTGTTGTCCAAAATGGTTTTGAGCACCACTCTGTACTGCAAGAAGAGATAACAGATGCTGATAATAATCAATGAATACAAAGGAAGTTTAAAAGGAAGTAAGCCTTCATATCATGTAGTCACCGTGAGATTAAGTGAACACGTTCTACCAATCTATAAAGAAAAAAAGAGAATCGAAAACAGTGAAAAATAGATTCCAGAACCAGGAATCGGAAATGATTCCAAACATTCTGGAATGGAACAGCCCTAAAGGTGCAACATTTCTTGACAATTTCTTTCTTTTTGCATTTAATGGAAGAGAGAAAAAAGTCATATGAGGCTGAGTAAACGATGATAAAAGCGATTACTCGTACCTTCTGGAGGGTCTGACATGGGAGGGCTGAGGCAGTACATGTGGTATCCTCTGTCACAGTCATCACAGAACAGAAGCTGGTCCTGCAGAAGAGGATTTAAACACATTCACAGATGGTTTCGTGCAGTGTTGGGGGTAACGCATTAAAGTAACAGGAGTTACATAATCAGATTACTTTTTTCCAAGTAACGCAATACTGTAAAGCATTACTTTAAAAAGTAACTTTCCCCAGCACTGGTTTTGTGTGCGAGAGGTTTGTTTGAGTGATCATGTGAGGAGACTCACGTCATTCTCAGATGTGCCACAAACGTTGCAGCACTTGCA